CGCATCGGGCTCCCTGCTCGGTGGGAAGCCTGCTTCTCCCTCTCCCACTCCCCCTGCTTGTGTTCCCTCTCTCGCTGTGTCTCTGTCAAATTAATAAGTAAAATCTTTAAAAAAAAAAAAAAAAAAAAAAGTTGCGTGGCAGAGATGAGCAGATCATAGTCATTCAGAACCTAAGGGGTAGTTGCTAAGCTCAGATCAGCTAGGCCTTTTTCCCTTAGCACAGACCAAGAAAACAAGCAGATGAAGATGTTAACTGTTCAGTGTCCTTGAGGACAATTCTGAATCTCCTTTGTCCCCAGGCTTGCCAGACTTCCCGCATCATTTGTGCCCTGTTTGCCGTCCTTTGCTTTTTACCCTTTAGGGCCATTTTGTAATCTGGCACTGCCACTTGCGTCCATTGTCAGTTTCCACTTATTTTTTTTGCCAAAGACTTTTTTTTTTTCTTTCAAAGTTTTAAGAACTAGGCAAAATTTGCATTGGAGACTTTCTAGTACTAGAAGACTGGATCCCGCACTGAAGAGGCAGCCTCACGATAGAACATTTGTAGAGACTTCATATCCTCTAACATTATAGAGAAGGGGCTGACCGAGCGTTTTTCATGTGCTCTTTCCTAGAGGTGTGGAAGGCTGACGACCAGACGGAGAAGGACCACAGCAACCCAGATGAGCAGGCGAGGCCATTTATCATTTTTAAGAACCAAACCCCAATTGAGGAGAGAGGTAATCTCTTTGGAAAAACATTTAATCTCAGCACAGATTTTGTTTCTTTAAGGCACGTACCCTATAAATATGACTTATATGAAAAAACTTTGAAATCGAATTCAGACTTACTTAATAATAATAGAAGCTACGTAAGAAAGAGAGCTGACGAGTGTAACGGATTTGGGAAAGCACTCCTCTATCTGAAGCAAGAGAAAACCCATAATGGATTAGAATACTCTGAATATAACAAAAGTGGAAAAGTCTTTAAGGAAGCCATTTTTAAACATCAAAAAATTAGAAATTTAGTACAACCTTTTGTTTGTAATTACTGTGACAAAGCTTTCTCCTTTAAGTCACTCCTCATTAGTCACAAGAGAATACACACTGGAGAAAAACCTTATGAATGTAATGTATGTAAGAAAACCTTCTCCCATAAAGCAAACCTCATTAAACATCAAAGAATTCATACGGGGGAGAAACCCTTTGAATGTATTGAATGCGGAAAAGCTTTCACCCACCAGTCAAACCTCATCGTGCACCAGAGGGCACATATGGAGAAGAAGCCCTATGAATGCAGTGATTGCGGCAAGACATTTGCCCAGAAATTTGAACTTACTACACACCAGAGAATTCATACGGGAGAACGACCCTATGAGTGTAATGAATGCGCAAAAACCTTCTTCAAGAAATCCAACCTCATTATACATCAGAAAATTCACACAGGGGAGAAACGCTATGAGTGCAGTGAATGTGGGAAGTCCTTTATCCAGAACTCACAGCTCATTATACACATGAGAACTCATACCGGGGAGAAACCCTATGAATGTACTGAATGTGGCAAGACATTCAGCCAGAGGTCAACCCTTAGATTACATTTGCGAATCCACACAGGAGAGAAACCATACGAGTGTTCTGAATGTGGGAAGGCCTTCAGCAGGAAATCCCGGCTCAGTGTCCATCAAAGAGTTCACTTAGGGGAAAAGCCCTGAGAATGGAGCCAGCCAGGACTGTGGAAAACCCTGCCACCCCAACCCTTGACCATGGGGGAGAAACCGCACAAAGGTGCTGAAGGAACATGGAAATTCATAGTGAGATACAATCCATCACATCAAAAACATGTAAAAACAGGGTCCCCTCAGAACAGTGTTATACCCAAAGTTAGATACGATGCCCAGCTAAATACACATCAGCGTATATCCAGTTGTAAATAGACATGCTTAGATGTATTACAGTGAGCTTTTTAAAATCTTGAATTACTCAAGAATGAAATGTTCTGGTCAGCAGCATAAAGGATCAATACCTTAGGAATTTAGTGGTTATGTGTGATCCTATTTTAGATCTACACATGTAAATTTAACAGTTACTGGGAGTTTGAAATTCTTGTCCTCTGAGACAGTTGGGGCACGAATAAGATTTTCCACGCTAAACATAGCGTGTTTTTCAGTACCTTTCCGAGCCAGTATGCATTCCACATGAAATAGGTAACAGTTTCCTTGGCATATGGCCTATGTTTTCTTCTACTGCTCACTGGCATAGAGAGTCGGTCTGACCATTGTTATTCCGCTGCCTCTTCAATAAACAGAAGACAATGTTGAAGTTCTAACTTGTTTCTGGGGTTGCTAATCACATCAATATGTAAATGAGCCATAATTAAGAGGGGATTTCAAGAGTGCAAGAGCACTGTGGGCCGGCACTCCGTGCATGCCCCAGCTGAAGAGGCCCTGTCTCTAGCGCACAGTTGTTTTGCAGTGGGCTGTTTGTTTACGTACAAATGCATGTCTTTCAACATAGTGTATAAGAAACTACTTGTATTTTTATTTTTGTTTCCCTATTTCTCTTAATATTTTACAAATTGTCTTATAAAAAAGTAGGATGTGTATGTGGTTCACAAATGTTACATTTTAGAGACTTTAGAGAAAAAATTTAAGAAACTGTCAGTAAATGTCTTACTGCTTTTTAAAATGTCCATGTGCACAACACTTTAGAAATGCGTTTTTGCCACATTCTGTTTAAAGGAGTCATTTCCACTCCTTGAGTTTCACGGTCATCAACCAAAAGCATCTCCCTTTGGAACTCTTTAGTACAGGTTAAGCCTTTCAAGGTTCACAAACACCTTAGAAGTTAGACTTTTCAGTGATCTCGCCATATGTTTAACAATTAACCTAAAAAAAAAAAAAAAGCTTTTTGCATAACTCAGAGGCAAACCATCTTAGTATTGATTTTAAATTCCCGTTTCTCTCCTGATCAGTCATAAACCGCACACTACATTTGTCACTCTGGCAACTGTAACTGGCCTTTTTCTTCCTTGTTTCTGAATGTCACTGATGTGCTGTGACTATATATGAATGTGAGTGACTTTCTCAACAGGTTTTACCAGAACAGCTATAGTCCAGTAAGTCTTTGTCTTTCTAAACTGTCCTCTTGTCTACTACCAGCAAGGAAGCAGGGGAGAAGATTCATCTCATACACTGCTGTTAGAAATGTGTAAAGTGCGACTCTTAACATTAAGGATACACAGACCCTTCAATCCAGGAGTCTCACTCCTGGGAATCTATCCCTAAGAAAAGATAAAGTGCCAGTACTTAAGATTATATGTTTATCAATGTATATTGTATTTTTTGATAAGGACAAAAAAGGAAACAATGTGAATAACCATCAGTAAGAGAATGATTGAATAAACTGCAGTAAAACTATACCATAGCTGCATGGTATTCCATGGAGAAGAATGTGTAAGTGGAAAGGCTTCCAGGTCAGACGAGAAGAGGGAGAGGGAGGGGGGAGAGGAAGAGGGGAGAGAGAGTTTGTGTGTGTACAACACATTTCTAAAATAAAGATCTAAGTATATGTGTGTTTGTGTGTATTTGTATGATTTTATGGTCCTGGATAATAAAATTCTGTCAAAAAATATAATTACCATTAAGTCTAATGGAAAATGTTTCATGCATTCCTTGGTCCCTAAATTAAGTCATTTATACTAAAACAACATCATAACTCACTCGTAACACAAATAATTATTCACTCATAACACAACAAGTTAAATAATTAACATTCGTTAACATAAGGCAGGTTCTCTTTATAAAACGGCTGTCTTCTGTTCTCAGGCTCTAGCTTTCATAGCTGTATGGTATGCTTGAGCCTGTGTTCTCCATGAAAACACATATTTGACATTCATTGTTTACACAAGGAAATCTTTAATACAAAAAAAATAGTAAAGACAGAAAAACCCATGAAAAGTCATTTTTACAAGGTCATTATTGCAAATCAGCAAATTACAAATGGTTTGAGAAAACATACCCACCTTTACAAATGCAGAGGTAACCATTGGGGTAACTGTCCTTTCGTGAGCTGTTTGCTCCCAAGGTCCTAGAAATCGACATCAGGAAAAAAAAAAAAATTCCTTGTAATCCTCATAAATCAAAGTGGTTTTAAATGAAACTTCGGAAGCAGTTCTTACAGCCTGGGCATGTGGGTGTATTTCAGTCTTGCAGCGCACTGGGCACAGCCGGCCGAGGGGCGATGCGCTGTGCATAGCAGAACCCAGCCAGTAGGGGCTGTCCCCAGATTCTGACCTCCACCCATCTGACTCCACACCCAGGCCTGCTGCACTTGGCCCCATTACCGATCTTTATTCCATTTGATATTTTAATTTTGGAGTTTCTATTTCCACAGATAACCTTTTCATAACCAAAATGCTTACACTTCCCCCATTGTTTTAATGCTTCATAAATTTAAAGTTGGGGATCCTCTTGGCATCAAGCTAGTGTTGATACATTTAATTGGCATCTCTCTACTGTTAAGTCTAAGGATGGTGGGGGGATTGTAGGTCTAAGGAAACCAGGATGAGGTGCTGAGGCACAGCTTGAAAAAAACATGGAAATGTGAGATGCTATGGGTCCTCAGGGTTGGGGGGAGGGGACTTTGTGGAATGCAGCTAGAGGTTTCATTCCAGCCACCCCTGCTCCATCGTCCTTCTCTGCAGCTGCAAGAGGACACAGAGCCCCAGTCCCAACCCGACAGCTGGTGTGGGCCATCAGGGACCTGGGCCATCCCCAGGCCTTGTTTGGCTAGAATTTTTCTTGACTCAACTACTTACCTGGATTGTCCCATCAAATCTTGCTGGCCCAAGTAGAGTGGACTCTCGGTGTCTGGTCTCCACTTACATCTTCTGACTTGGCTAGGTCTGTATTCTGGGGATTTTGAAGGGAAAAACTCCCATAGTTCATCCTGCTGAGCAGTAGTCAATAGAACATATCTGGGACCCTCTGCTCTGGTTTTCCAGATCTTAGTGCAGTGTTGGTAACCTTATCCTCAGGTCTTATCTCTTCTATCCCAAGAGGCTGCTCTTCTATCTCAGACATACACATTGAACTGTATGTAACATGTTTGAATAAAGGACAATCTACCTTTCTCGGTTTTATAAGAACTGTCAGAATGTTAACCAAAATACAACAAAGAAACCAAAACACACCTATAAAGGCTAGTGAGACTTAGGTCAAAGAATCCAGAAATGGGTACTGAAGACTTCAGTTACTGGTTAGTAAAATGAGCATAAACCCCCATGAGAAGTCTGGACCACAGCTGTTGACACGGATAGTGGACATGGCTACATTCATTCATTCCAGAAAACATTTTAGGCACCAGCAAGGGAGCAGGCATTCGTGGGTGATACAGTGGTGAACAAGATCATACTGTGACAGAGGGCTCCAGTCTTGGAGGTGTTTGCTTATTAGCAGTGCTTCCCAGGAGCAGAAGGAAAACCGGTTAGAGGACATGCTTCAGGAAGCTGGAGACATAGGTATGGGCTGGGCCTGCCCCTGTGAGAAAGATGAGAAGCCACAGGAGAGCTTCAAATAAGGAATAGCATCATCTGCTTTTTAACAAGTGATGCTAACTGGTAGGAGAATTTGAGTAGGTGCCCAGAAACAGAAACCCCCCACTTAAGAGAACCCTAAGAGATGAGGTTCTGCCAATTCATGGCCCCCATTTCAGTGGCTTTCAACAAAATTTCAAATAGCAACCAAATGCTTTCTCTATTACTGATTGTTGGCAATCAGTGAGAAATGCTCTTGCAAATTCAAGTTCACTTAAATTCCTGCTTCCCTAGATCTCTTCCCAATGGCTCCTGATGTTTGACCATTCCTCTTCCTCCAGCCCATCCAGACTCATGAGAATTACCCATTCTCACCTCAAAACTCTGGAACTCCACACCCAAAAGAACATTTAGAGCAACTGTCCAGGTGATGTGGGACAGGGCTGACCTGAGCACTTTCTCCATCTGGTTGATGCTGAATGTGGGCAGGGGAGTTATGGGAGGCTGGTTTCCCTGCAAGGTGCTGAAGCCGTTACTGAAAGAAAAGGAAGAAGAGTAGTGCATGAAAGTTGATACCTCTTAGCAAAGTGAGGCGAGGCCTGGACTGAGCAGGGGCGGCCCCCTTTAAATTGAAGTGGCAGAGACCAAGAGGTGGGAAGGCCTGTCGTGCTGGGATGTATGCCTCTGAAGGTAGCAAGGGGCCTAGGGCACTGTGGCCTCAGATCACTTTGCTCAAGACAACAGACACTGTAATGTTGAAAAATAAAGCCAGACTTTGTAGTAAGCATCAGGCCAGGGGTGGGGCAGGGACTGGCAAGGGTCAACTGGTTCGGCTGCACTAGGTAGAGGCTCAGGCTGAACAGTGGGCTCAGGGTGGCCAGGTCGGGCAAGAGGGGGGGTCGCTGAGGGGTGCCCTGCTGAGACAGACAGACGTTGATGGAACAGGCCATCTTGAGGAATGGGTGATTGGCAGCAGGTGGAAAAACATGACCAAATGGGTCAAGCTGCTGAGGAAGCTTAATATGGCTACCTGTGACCTCAGGAGGTCAAATGCTAATAAAAAATACTAGCAACAGCTGCTTCCAGCCGACCCGTAGTAACAACAGTACTGCTATTAGTGATGGTCAGTAGGTATCGCTTGCTTCTTACGCTCTTGGGCAGCACGCTGCTCTTTGCTTTGTATGCATTAGCTCCGTGAGGAGTCAACTGCTTCACTCCCTGCTGTCATTCTGCGTCCCCTGACCCAGCGGGATATCATGGCTTCAATCCCTGGCGGGATGTTACTTAAAAAATGGACAAATATAAATGTCCCTGATGAGGGAGCAGAAAGCTAGCTGAGGACAAAGCAGAAGCGGACACCCCACAACCACCCCCCCCTGGGATATGTGTGACATTCCTCAGGCACTCCTGGCTGCCCTAAAGGAAAAACAAATAGTTAATTCATAGAGATTACAATCCTGCAAGACAGGAGTCTCCCTCAGTTCACAAAAGCTTTAGCAATTTACAAGAACAAAGCATTTCTATCAATGGCCTAGCTTCCAGAAGGCAATGTAGATACAATTAAGTGTCCTTATAATCTGTAGCCCGTTGACAGATACCGGAAGTGGGCAAAGTGTAATGTTACTGTTAATGCCTTACTAGAAGGAAAAACCACCTTAACTTGACAATGGCAAGGCCTCCGGTATCCTGTGAGTCTTCTTTAACATACAAAAATCCTTTTGAAACCTCCCTTTTCCTTACCTCCCCCAACTCCCAAGTATCAGCCACACCTCACAAACCCGGGACAGCTTTTTCTCCCTACGGGTCCTGTCCCTGTGCTTTAATAAAACCACCTTTTTACACCAGAGATGTCTCAAGAATTCTTTCTTGGCTTTCGGCTCCAGACCTCACCCCACCGAACCTCACCTATATTCCAAACCCCCATCATCCCAAACATCTGCAACCACCATCTCCTAAAAACCCTGAGGTGGTAATCAGTTCCTTGGCAAATGTAAACCTCTGTGGAAGGTTCCTGGGCGTTGTTCAGTGCCATGGCGTACCTGCTGCCGAGTGTCTGGCATTAACACTCCAGAGGTCTAGGGGCTTTTCCCAAAGTGAGTATCACACTCGTGGAGGCAAACCCCAATCCCAGGGGGGTTCTGGAAAGCAAAGTGGCTGCCTTAGAAGAGGGGGCACATGAAGATCATCACACAAATTTTTCCAGTAACAACACAAGATCAGGGTAACAGGAGAAAATCACAAAGTAGAAACTGAGATCAGAAACTATACCTTAACTGAAAGTCAAACCTTTAAGATTTTAAGCAGCAGGAAAGAGAAAAGGGAATTGATTGGCCATCACAAGTTTGGGGGCTGGGTCCTGCATTATTACTCACGGCTGCTGAAATGCTTTAACTGGCCAGTATCTCCAGAGACCATACGATGCACAGATCCATAACCCACTCAAAGATCCATCCAGGCAATGGGCTTGTTTCCCCCGAGATGCCACAGATCTGGAGCCCCCTCCACTTTACGCCTGAATGGGGCAGAACCAAGAACCGTACCTAACAAGGCATAGGAAATATTTTCCTGTTGCCATAGGAAAAGCTGCCGGGGTTCGGAGACCTGCAGTGATGGGGAAGAGGGAGAAGGCAAGGCGAAGGCCCCAGAGCCACCCGCTCGTACCAGGGCCCTCCCTCTCCTCACTCGGATCCTCACTGCCGTGTGCTGTGCCCACCCTTCCATCACTCCATCCCAGTGCTGACAGCTAAGGCTCCCAGTGAACGGAAACCACGAATGAGCCCCATCTCCTGCGGCACAAAGGTAGCAGGCTCCATTGGCAGGAGGGCTCCGCGCCTGATCCCACTGCGTGTGTGGGAGAGGGGCTTCCCCAACGCCGACACGTGATGCTCCGACACCAGCTGGCTGCCCTAAGATTCAGCTCAATTCTGACGCTATCCACTTAGAGATCACATCAGATTCCACAGGTTAAAGTTTCAGTCCTAAGCCCCTTGGGGGTTTTTATGAAGGCGTCAATACATTGGCCCGATTGATCACATCTCTGACAACTGGTGATTGAACTCATCTCCAGGCTCTCGCCTCTTCCCAAAGGTGGGACTCAAAATTCCAACCCTCTAGTCCCCTGGTTGGCTCCATTGGCAACCAGCCCCCATCCTTAGGAGAGTTCCAAAAGTCAGCTCATTAACATAACAAAAGACATCTGTACCCCTCTTACCACTTAGTAAATTCCAAGGATTTTAGTAGCCGCCAGAAATGGGGACAAAACCCAAATATACGTTATAAATCACAACATTACAGCCCATCCCCCCTTCTCAGACATGGATCCCTTACAGCCAAACAGTCTTAAAAGTCAGAGGTTATTGGCATATTACAGAATCCCATTCAGTCACTCTTAACTGTCCTGTCCATCACATCCTGTGAAAAGGTCTCCTCTGGTGAGGCCACTCAGATTTGCAGGCTACCATTCAGTCCTGTTGGGTTTCCAAAGCAGGAGGGGTCTCGAGGACACATGTACCCTTTCATGCATCTGGGGTGGTGCAGTTAAGAGACCATATCGCCTCTTGCTTGGAACCTCTTTCAAGATGTTCATGTATTATTTGATTTCCCATCACATAACCCATGTATTCAATCCTTTACCCATAGCTAGTATTTTTTCCTTCTCTCCATTTATCCCCCAATTCCTCCCCCTCTGGAAGGGACATTAGGTTTGGCCGCTGCGCTGGTCTCGACTGCAAGCAGCTTTCCGAACAGGATGTTGTCCATTCATCTTGAAACTGCCCATCGTAAACCAAGCAGCTCTTTGTTGGCCAGATGAGAGCTGTTCCTAGAGGCCCATCCACGTTATTCTGGAACTCTCCTGGGCACGGCCTTCCTTACTAGACTGTTTCTCTGACATCACTCAAAACATTAGGAGTATCTCAGTTTTCACGATTATTTTACATCCTGGAAACCCTCTCAATCAGTGCCCAACAGCAGGCTAATAATTGTCGCTCAAATGGTGTACGCTGGCCAGCAACATCCTCTAACTGGGAACTTTCTGGTCCAAAACCCCCCAGTCACTGCTGGGAGGCTGTCTCGAGCACACTATCAAATCACAGCTTGGCTTCCTATGTGCCCCACAAAGCAAAGTCCAAAAACACAAAGTCACACCATGAAGATACAACCAGGGGTAGGAAGTTAATGAAATCGGTCCGAGCGCCAGAGGCTGAGATGAGGCCCCCTCGAGTGGTCCGAGTCCAGCTCTCGACACTCACTGCTTATTTCCTTCAACAGTGGAGAAGCTCGGTTATGTTCAGAGGTCCATCGGGCAGAGCCTTCGGTGACAGCGGCCTTTCTAATGTGGTCGGACGTGAAACGGCCAGCGTCCTCCCTTTTTAAAGAGGTGTCATCAGCCTTGGGCCTCTGCAGGTCTCCTGGTGCCAGTGATCATGCTCTCGCGGTTCTTCCAGGTTCACATGGCCTCATGGATTAGCAGTCCTTAGTCCTCCCATTCTGTGCTGGCTTCGGTGATATCTGGCCATGGTTCCAGTGCCCTTGGGCTGCTTGTGTCCCTGCTTGACCTGACGGACTCCACCTTGCTCTCTACCGAGGTGCTCATGGGCTTTTGCCCTAAGCCCCAGTCTGCAGGAGTACACGCGGCAGATGATTCCACAGTCCCATGAGCCTGGGGATCACAAGGGTCCAAAGGCTCTGAGAAAGCACCCACCTTCTGTGATTCAGACATGGCCGGTTTTGTTCAGGTGCCCGCTCAAATACAGTTTTCTTGTGGGTAGTCTTAGAGATGGGAGTTAGCAAAATTCCCAGATATGGAGTACACATTTTCCAAAATCCAATTAACTAACCAAACACTAGCATCCTGTTTGATCCTAGGGATGGGCAGTGATGGCTATTTTTAGTTGCTGGCATGATATTCCGAGTGGCTCCTGCCCAGGTTATTCCTGCAAATTTCACCGCTTGAGACCCTTGGACCTGGATTTATTAACCAGAACCAGTTGGTCATGGGCATCATCATCACATTCAAATCAGCCCCAGCCTGATCTTCATTTTTCCAGTCTTTCATAAGGTCATTAATGTAGCATATTATTACTCTTGACACCTGCATCAAGTATGAATCCCTTCTGACCACATTATTGATGGTAGCTGGTGAGTTCAGATAACCAAAGGCAGCATAGTAAACAGAAAGCGAGATCCTTCCTGCACGAAGGCAGACTGCGGTGGGCTCCTCTCCAAGATGAAGAGAAGAAAGCCTTTGCCAGATCAGTCACTGAGGACCAGACTCCTTTACCCTGCTGTGTTTTTTCTCCTTTTTTTTCTTTCTTCTTTCTTTCTCTTTTCTTTCTCTTTCTTTCTT